GCCGGCCCAGACAGTGTATTTCGGACAAATTTCCAAGTGCGTCTGGTCCGGCTGACCAACTCTTGGTCCGCCGGACCAGACCTCAAAGACCATGAAAAATCCGATTTTTCTCGTCCGTGTGATCCCGTCCATACACGTCCATCCCGTATGTGTGGAGTGCTACCATCAGACATGGTCGGCGGCGAGGAGAAGAGAGATTAGGTTTGGAAAAAAAAAGTCGCTAGACAATGGCTTCTGATACCATAAACGATAGTGGGAAATAATATTTCTTATTATTCCAAGTGTAGAGATTACAAAATATATAGACGTAGGGTTGCTATGATTTAGCTACAATCAAGGTAACTAATGAACATAAAATCTGGAAGTGATACGATAGAATATTTACAATAGTATATCTTTCCATTATTGTCATTAACCACTAAGTTGAGGATTCCCCTAATAGCGTTTATATTTTCATTTTGATTACGAAGTCGAAAGGTACGTCTGTTGGCTAAGAAATTAAAATTTGTATTTTGATTATTATATTAGGAATCGTAATCGACCGAGCGACGTTTTACGTGCAAAAATGTAACGGAAACAAAAGGCCAATTTGTTACTGTACGAAAATTCGCGAACGCATTTTCGTACCGTAACCGTCCGAAAGTCCGTGCCGTATGGATTAGTTTCGTGAAAGAAGTAAGCCCGTGACAAAATTGGAATTATATCTGTAGATATTTTATGATATAATCAAAATTAAATCGACCGTTTTTACCCAAAAAAAAAAAAATTAAATCAACCGACTGGAAAAGTCTTGTTGGTGGACTTTTGTGGCTTAATTTAGTTGGGCATTCTAATACGTAACTACGTCGAATTAAACGGCCGTGATCAACACGACAAGAAAATGGACGGCTCTGATCTATCCAATAGCAAAAAATGAAACGACGCCGTTTACACAGTGGGGCTGTTTGATCGCTTTTGCGATTCCGATCTCTGTTCCACGTTTTTTTTTTCCAGTGGTCGATTGCTACGTACGCTCCGATATCTGCGATGGCTGTGTCAATGGCGGCGAAAATGTCTCAGCTTGCTTGTTTCTCCTCGGCGAACCGCCAATTCCACTTGCAGAGCAGGTCATTTGTGTGCCCTAGGCTTCGTAACCAGGTAAATGGCGGCTCGTGTGTATGAAATTCAGGTTGAATGCGATTGCGATCCGTAACATGATTTTACACGATCTTGTCTGGATTTTTCTTTTCAGTTTACCATGATGCCCAACGCTGCGGTTGTACTTTTGATGCTGTCTGTCTGAATTTCATGACCTTGATTGTTTTTTTTTTTGTGTAATTCATTATAATCTGCAAATGTTGGCCTTTTTTTTTAATGTTTTTTCTTCTATGTTTCATAGAAATGGTTCTTTCTTCTCGGGACTTGAATTGCGTTCTTGTTCTCTGGCCGAGCTGGTAGCAGAATTTTACTAGCTTAATATGATTACGTTCCGCTAAAAGGTTTCGTTTTTCTGTCTGTTTTTGGAGAGTTTTAATGGCTCTGTTTCCATTGTTGCGCTGGTGAGTAAACTTTTTCTTTCCCATTTTTTGGTTCTTTACTTAGGGAGCTTAAAACCACCAATGTTAGTACTTTGGTTGTCTCAATGTGCTCAGAAGTCTTATTAAGCTCCTATGTAGATTTCCTGGGACTGATTCTGTCCCAAGCGACTAATGGCAGCAATGTTGCAGTCTTTTGTGGTTAGGAGCATTGACGGGAATAGCTCCAGAACTGCGGGTTCTGAGAACAGAACTTCTCTAAGTTATACAGCTGAGGTCTCAGATCCTTTTGGTGAAAAGACGACGGAACCGTTTTCTACTTTGGATGAGAATGTTACCAGTAAAAGAGATACAGTCGTGTCTGCAGAGCAACATGTAGTTACAGAACAGAAAAGGGCTGCAAAGATCCACGACTTCTGCTTTGGCATTCCTTATGGTAATAAGTAACCCTCAAAATTTTTATCGCCTTAATGACATGACATGTCTTGCCCTTTTTCTTCTGCATGCAAGTGTTGGTACTTGGTAGGTTTAACATTTTTACCTTTTGAAGGCCTTGCCAAGAAATGATTTACAGTTTGCATGTTCAAGACACATAACCTTAGCTTTTGAAAATCGGATTTATATTCTTGGCTTATTTCTCCAGACCAAGTGAGAGCAAGGTATTTCAAAGTTTGTTGAAGTTTGAAGATCCTTGAAGTCATTGGTTTCAGAAACTTTATGGCCTTCTTTTCTAGCTTCGTATAATTCCTAGATTAACTTTATCGGTTGGGGGTGTCACTGTGGTTGCTGATATTGCATTCCAAATGTTTATGGCAGGTGGTGTCATTTTGGGTGGAGGTCTTCTTGGCTCCATATTGTCACGAAACCTCACAACTTTAAGTGCGGGTGTGCTCTATGGTGGTGTCCTTCTGGCTCTTAGCACAATAAGTTTAAAGATCTGGCGTCAAGGAAAATCTAGTTTTCCGTTCATACTAGGACAAGCAGGTACTCTTCCGGTGCTGTCCATGGGAATAGTTAATGGGTGTTCTTTAATCATTGCTTAATACTGGAAAGGAAATAAATCAACAATATATGGCTGTTTTGTGATGGGGATGGATGATTGTAAATCCATGTTCTCAGGACTGATCGCCTCTGGAAATTGTTAGTTATTTTAGGATGATCATTACATTCAGTGCACTGTAAATATACGCCTATCTATTTCCTGTGAAAGCTTTGTGCTCACTCATTCTTCTACTCTGCAACTGCAGTGGTTTCAGCTGTCCTCTTCTGGAAGAACTTCAAGGCTTATTCCATGGTAGTCATGACATTTTTGCAAGCATAGTGACTGTCTTTTTTTTTTGTTTCTTTCTTTCCCACTTCATCTGATTTCTGTTGTTTGCATGCAGACGAAGAAGCTGATACCAACTGGGTTGTATGCTGCCATCAGGTAAATCCTTATATGATCTTTGATAGAACCTGTAGGTATCTTACTTGCACATATAACTCTTTTTTTTTTCTATTGCAGTGCTGCGATGCTGTGCTTCTATTCATATGTGGTGCTCTCTGGAGGAAATCCACCTCCGAAGAAGTTAAAGTCATCTACTAGTCCTTCATACTGAAGAAATTCACATAGGTTAGATTATAAATTGGAGATATGTCCATTGTTGATAATTGTGTACGAGGCAGTAACTGCTGTATACATGTCAAAATGACCTGATAACAATGATAGCTCGCTATTATGTTTTTCCTGAAAATGGATGAGATTTCGTTATCTCAATTGTTCTCACTGGTGACCTTATACCACACTTGTCCTTTATTTTTAAGCGAATCCAAATTCTATGCTGGGCATCCTCCCTTGTCATCTACCGGATGGAAGCTCCATTGCTGCTACAAGTTACCATCTTTTGAATTTACTGCAGGTCTTTTCTATTGTCCCTTGTGTGTGCGTTTGTAGAGCTTTTATTATGCAATAAAGTGAAGAGTTTGATTTACCATTCTATCTCATTATGATATTGAATGACATAGCTTGATAATACAAGTAGTTATGTATAACAGCGTGTAGTTTTATCCCTGTGGTTCTTGCCCTACCATTATGCAGAGCGTCCGGTCAGGTAACCATGTATTATAAATGTTTTGCCTAGAATATTTCCATAATCCAGCCGTTTGATTTTGGTAACACGCATAGAGACTCTATTGTTATCTTATAAGAACTTCGGGCCATGCAATAGCTTTATAGTTTGCTTCATGCTTAGACCACAGTAAGTTCATAAGCTCAGGCCATACAAACTGCTTTTACTGCTCTCTTTTATTTCATTCTTCTATTTTTTTCTTCAGAATGTTAGGTTGCTTGTGACGTCTCAAAAGTTGGACAACCCCACATCTTTCTCTGACACTATAAATCGGTTTTGGTGGTCAGTCAATTGGTCTGAGATTGAAAATATTGATCTCTATATTGTATAGGTTCCATCCACGTGGCGCGAGCCGAAGCAGCTGAAAGAGGGGGGGTCCCTTACCACATATGGCTCCCGCCTATGTTTTTACAAAAGTGGTGCCACTTTGTTGAGACATGAAATTCTGCCATTAGACTAAATGCTCGGTCTTGTTCTTCCTAACCTTGTCTGCTCAGTTTCCAGGACTTTTAGGCGTCTTTTCACGTTATCTGAAGTCTTTTCAATGCCTTGTTAGTTGCTTTCCATGTAGTGGATGTTTTTACAAAAGTGGTGCCACTTTGTTGAGACATGAAATTCTGCCATTAGACTAAATGCTCGGTCTTGTTCTTCCTAACCTTGTCTGCTCAGTTTCCAGGACTTTTAGGCGTCTTTTCACGTTATCTGAAGTCTTTTCAATGCCTTGTTAGTTGCTTTCCATGTAGTGGGTTGACAAGTGCCTCCACTTACAGAGTTGTGCATGTGCAGGCAGATAGAGAGCTTGAAAGGATCTCTTTTTCCTCGTGTCATTCACATGCCTATTATTCTCGACAATAATTCATCTGGTCTTTGATGTTGAAACTCTTGGATTTTGATGCTTAATCATTCACTGATTGAAAGATTTTACTTATAGTTGGATCACATCAGGTTTTATCTTAATCTTAGAGAAGATTTTTAACATTACTTATTCATTGAACTTGATAAATATAGCACATGGGGGGGGGGGGGGGGAACGATGGCCCTATACGTTGTATCTTCCTTTGCAGGTGATACAGATAGTCAGAGAACTTCAATCACTTGCGAGAAGTGATTAACTTAATCCACAAGATTTATTTCTGCTTAATCATTTGACATGATCACTTCTTTGATGTTTCAGAAGCCACTGCCCCTACTCAACTAAAAGGCGTTCTCCGAGGTACTTATTCCCTTTGATCAACCATTATTTGCTCATTTCAGTGTTTTATTTGTGCCCACTTTCCTCTCTAATATGATTGTGTTACAACTTTATGCAATGCTTATCTGTTTCACCTGTTCATTAGTAGGTTTAGGTCGTTTATCATAAACTTTTTGGAGTTAACTCTGTTTTCCATGACCCTTGACCTAAGAAGATACAGTTCTTGAGCTGTAATGGCGACTCTTGATGTGTGGTTTTCGGGTTGATTTTGCAAGTTTCTTTGTCATTCTGCGCGTGCACAAGATGGTCATAGTCATGCCCAAGAGGCTGACTGATCAACCTAGGCCCCGGCCTTCTATTTATATTTTTTTTCCCTTAGCATTATATTCAAACTAGTGAAAAGGAAAGTGTCTGCCACCACAACTCACTGTTGTTTTCATGGAAGAAGTTTTTTTTCTTAATTCAAAATAGTTTTGTGTGGCCATGGCTTCTTGCTTAATGCCATTAATGGCATGCTAGCCAAAGTTTAGTTTCTGGCAAATCTGATGGCGATGTCTGGTTATTACAATGAAGGGTTTAGATTGTTTTTATCGGTGAAAGGTGGTATAGGTCACGTTCCACTCTTAAATATGTCCCCACACTTTGGATCATGGGACCAAAACCTAAATTATATATATGTAGTATATATTCTGGTGATGGCAGAACAAGAATATATAGACAAATGCTCTATTGTCTTAAGTGTTGGATAGATATTGTGTATGCATATGTGGATAAGCTTACAACAGACGTTATATCCAATTTCTGATTGGAGGAATGCGATCAATTGGATGGAACCCATTAGATTTTAATATCAAATATAATTATATTGTTATTTATTATGGAAAATATCCAATATTATATTATATATATATATATATATGTGTGTGTGTGTGTGTGTGTGTAATAAGATATTGGCAAAGTTTGATGCTTTCTACAAGGGTAATAAGAGATCAATGGATGGAGCCCATTAGATTTTAGAATCCCAACCACATAATGTGGAGCAATTATGCTTAGATTTGTACTAATTTTGTTGGGATTAAATATTCAATGTTTTTCTAATGCGCCTATCGATCCAAATACATATGATCCCGGTCCAAGTATTAAAAATTAGAAAGAAAAAAAAAAGTGGGGAGTGGGTTTTGTGTATGTGTGTCATCTCATCATATGCTTTGACAAATATTCACAATCTTTTTTCTCTTTTAATAACACACTGCTGCACATCTCATTTTCATGAGTAGTATTGCTCAATGGTTCTCTTTTTTTTTTGTGTTGGTGGGTTGCAAGGAAAATCTATGGGCAATCTTTTTCTTAAAAAAACATTTGGTATGGAGGGACTCAATTTTAGGAGATATATTGTTAATTGTTAGATTATTTATCCTATTTGGACCGACGTGCTTCATAAATCTTTATAAGTTAATCACGAATTATTATCATTTTGACGCCACATCTTGTGGTAATGCATGGTTTACGAGATTCGAGATCATTTATCGCGAGTTTTTCTTTTGTATTAAACTAATTAAGTGAAAAGATGCAACACAACATATATAATCATATTAGTTTCTTGAATCACAATTTAAGATTATGGCATATATATAATGTTATCGTTGTTGCCTAGGTAGTGTCTACAAGAGACCGACCACCAATACAACGTTCCTCGGAATATAAATTCATAGCTAGGGGACAAAAAAATCGGATTTCAAAGAAAAGTACTTAGATTTGTTTTGCCCTTCAACTACACAATAATAATATTTTATAACGCTGTGTTCTTGTTTGGTCGGTCTCTTACAAAACCATCAAATAAAAGTTCTTGCACCAAATATTATTTTAAGAGGAACAAGTGTTTATTTAATAGTCGATATGATTCGAGCAATATTTTTATGAATTGTCTTTTCAAAAGGGTTCGTGCCATTATAATGGTTGCTGATCACCCTACGGGCCTAAGTTAGATAGCGATACTGAAAAACCAAATTTGTCAAAAAAGGTTATACATCGACGGAAAAGGATACGTAAGAAATGAAACTCTATTATTTAATATAGTATTGTGTTACAATCATACGTATATTTCATCTTATATTACATAAAATATTCCACAAAAAGAACTTTGGTTATTTGAATCTTGGAATATCTTGGTTTTTTTTCAAATTTTATTTTTAGTTCAGTGATTAACATTTAATCTATAATTTCAACAAAAAATAATATATATAGAGTGAAAATAAAATTAAAATTCTATGTACATGATAAGAATTATAACAAATTTACACAAATAATCCACAAATTTCTAACTAGAAATACTCTGATTTAGATTAATAGAATAATGATGGCAAAACTACACATTTTGCACACGCTTAATTCAACTAACTAATAAAAAATTACGTATCTGACATATCCCTATGCACATTTCAGGAAGCTTACATATATATCTATATAATGGCTTTTAGAAATGCACCCCCATTCCAGTTCACTCTTCAACATACGATTAGAAATATGGGTTATGAATCTTATGATATATATCTATATATATATATATATATCATAAGATTCATAACCCATATTTCTAATCGTATGTTGAAGAGTGAACTGGAATGGGGGTGCATTTCTAAAAGCCATTGCCTTTTGATCTCTTTGGTTGCACCAACCAAAACTTAAGAGAAAACAAGAAAGAGATTGAAATTTTACTGAATTGCCGTGGTGACAATGTAGCCCCCCCTAGGGTCTTCAATATAGGCTTATAGACTAGCATTTCGGCTCAAACCCCAAAAATTTATATATAGATATATTTGTGTATATGTATGTGTGTGCATAGAGATGGTTCCTAAGAAAATAACCCATCACTGCAAAGAAAGGATAATAATTGGGGACAATAGAAACCCAAGGTCAACTAACTGGCCAATGAACTAAACTCTACAAATATGGGTTTTCTTCAGCACCTCTCTACGACTACATGTCCCTAAAGATTCCATCCTTGTAACATATCTACATGCCCTCTCTCTCTACATTGTCCAAATCAAATCTCGATCTCAAAGTCCACAACTTCCAACTTTTACAAATATCACAATGCATATAATATAATATATATCACATGTATACTGTTATGTTTTCTTAGTGATCAAATAACAGTTTATGGAAATCTATCTAACCTTGGGTTTTCATGGGCATGGAAGGGCAAAGTCCATGAGTGAGCAGACACAAGTTGCTTACCATGTCGTCATCTACGTAACAGTATTCTCTCTAAGCCCAGCAAATCTCTTTAATGCAAAATCTTCACAATGTCTTCTCTCCTGTACAACTGTAAAAAAAAAAAAAAGACTTTTAATGGAAAATGACACTACATACATACATACATACATACATACATACATACATACATACATACACACACACATACATACATACATACATACATACCAGCAAGAACTCGACAGATAAAATTAAACAATTCAAAAGAATTTCCACTCAATAAAAGCAAAATGCGATTCAATACAAACTTGTGCCACTAGATTTAAGTGTTAATAATGCTGTTGTACGGCTTTGGGGTCTACCGAGATTCATGCTGTTCAGTTTTGATGACGCAGAGATCCTTTGGAACAAAAACTACACATACACAACACACACACACACACACACACATATATATATATATATGAAATGTGTCATATATAAAGGTAAACTAGTAGAAGACTCGAACCCGATCCTATATCACTTGTTTATTACCACATCTTATGCCACTAAACTACCATGTTACGTTAATAATGGGGGCATGCCTGATTAAACTGCCACTAGAGCGACTGGACTATGCTGTATCTCTTACACGGGACCAAGATTTCTCTGGTGCACAAGCCACTACAGCGACCAATGCAGTAGTGTGAACTAAGATTGCACACAAAAGCAAATTAGCCAATGACCCCCAATAATTGGGGCAAGGTAATCATGAAGGAAATAAAATAAATAGGAAAGGGGAAAATATCACATTAGCTGAACTATAGAAGAGTGCTTGTTTAGTCGTATGAAAAGGAGCGAGCAAAAGCGGAATAATAATTTCATAAGAACAGCGGTATTTATGGTGCACCCAAGAAATCTATACAATAAATTTCGATATTTTTGTTCACACACATATTTAATTGTATGCAAGGGCCAAGAAAGGTGCTAAATTTTCGGCAAATCTAATGAAAAATAATGGGTCATTAGTATTTATTCTCTTTTTAGATGCCTTAGAAGACTCTTTTTAGCAATTATATCCTAACACTATATATGTTGGTTGGACACCACTTCGGACTCCTATCAAATGTTTCAATGTAGACCCAATGCTGGGATTTAAGAATTCAAAATTCAAATACCAGCAATCAAGTAGACATAAACATACCTTTTCATATCCATGTCTCCTTTGTTCGAACTGTCATACTACTGCCTGCATTCTCACCCCCTCCCCGCCTTTTTTTCGGCCGTTGTTTTCATTTACAAAAATAGGTAGACAAGGCCACTACAAAATTCACGCAAAGAATGTGAACTATTAACCAAAAAAAGAGTCCACGATGAAACACGCAACAAAAATATATATTACTCTATTACAAAGTAGAATGACATGGGTTTTGGATTTTCATCTTCGTATCTGCCTTTATGCCATTTTTTAGCAAAGAACATAGATTGCCTTAATTCGAAGTGTTAAGAAGCAAAATAATGACAAGGTCTCGATTGGTCGTTGAGGACCACCATTAAGGACAGAAGCCAACAATCTTTTCTCCACTCAATGCTGCATGTCCTACACTTCTTTATGTGAGATAGTGTTGCCCAAAATAACAAACGATGGAAACATTCCAAACACAATGTTTTCACTAACCTAAAACCTGGGACTTGCACTTTCTTAGCTAACTTACAGTGAGAGGGGATGTACTGAATAGCGTCCAACAAGCCGAGAGACCTGAAAAAATTTCAAGGTGATACACTATTCAATTCAAATATGGCAAATATTATGCTCAGATTCTTTACCTGAAATCTCTATCTTGAGGCCAGTTTCTATTAAGTGGGTTCATGTCTCAGCGAGACCTTTTAGATGCTCAAACAAAGCTGCTACTGACGTAAGCACAAACAGTCAATTCACAAAGTTTATAATATTATGACGTAAACTGATAGTGTCAAAGGAGATGCAAAGAGTCCAATAAGGATGATGCAATGAGGTTTATCGAGCTGGGAGGGAGAGTGGTGGGCAACCATGTTTCTCTCACATTGAGGCCCTGAGCTTCCAGTACAATGAAATCCAAGTAGGGGCCGGCTTGGGGACCCTACTGTACAATGACCTGACAACAGTGCACGCAAACAATTTGCAGCATCATGGAAGAAGATAATCACAAAAAAGTTACAAAATTATTCTGTAAAAGAGAAGGGATATGCAGTAAAAACAACAATCTTGAAAATGTCAGAAGAAAGAGAAAGTACGCTAACAAAAGAAAGGTGAGGAAAATAAAAGTTAGAATCTAAACTTTGTTGTAACTTATTACCCTATAAAATATTAAAATCAAAAAGGGGGTGACAAAAAAACATATCTTAATTTGCAAAACCAAGACAAAAAGTAATGGTAATCCACCTATATAGTGAAAACATTAATTAGTATGTGACTATTTACTGTGCCGCCCAAAATCTTCCCTTTAAATTCCCTTCTCCACCTTACTTTCTCCTCAGAGTCCTCTAAACCTCAAGTTTTGCTCTAACTGCCATACAACATAACACTAAACAACCGTTTCATTTCTTCCCTAACCAAAACAGAAATGGAGTTAGTCTCATTCTTCTGGTTCCACAGGCGGAACAAGAGTTTCCTCAGAGTTTTCATGATCTTAGTTGTAAGCTCTATACCAGGTAGAATCAATCTCTGTTCCGATAATTCTGTTCGTACTCCAACAGATTTACCTCCTTCAAACCCTTCAGATATCCGTTCTTCGTTAGATGCACTAGATTTGGAGGGTTACATAAGTTTCAATGATGTCGACTATGCGGCTAAGGACTTTGGCAACAGATACCATTTCCCACCGCTGGCAGTTCTATATCCGAAGTCAGTTTCCGATATTTCATCAACAATAAAGCATATAGTCCATCTGGATAACCCTTCAAATCTAACAGTAGCAGCTAGAGGCCATGGTCACTCGCTTCAAGGACAAGCTCAAGCTCATCAAGGTGTTGTGATCAACATGGAGTCACTTAGAAGTCCTCAGATCAGGATTCACAAGGGAAAGCAACCATATGTTGATGTTTCAGGTGGTGAGTTATGGATTAATGTTCTACGTGAGACTCTAAAATATGGGCTTTCACCAAAGTCCTGGACAGACTACCTCCATCTGACTGTTGGAGGTACTCTATCTAACGCTGGGATCAGCGGTCAGGCATTCAAGCATGGACCACAGATCAACAATGTGTACCAGCTGGAGGTTGTCACAGGTAATCTTGTTCACACTATCTATATGGCTTCACAGATAACTTTGACCGGATCCAGGTACCGCATCCTTAGATTGTGCACTAGTTTAGAAGCACGAAACAATAAGGAAACACTTAGTTTCCAATCTCAACTGACTGTAAGTTGACAAAGAAATTAAACTCCAGAAAGCAAGTTGTGGATACTTAAATATGAGTGATAGGGGTGTCACCATTGCCGCTATACAGTTTCTTAAGCAAAGCAGACATGCAAAGCACTTTTCTGATTTGCGTATAAACAAAGAAGTCATGGACAGAACCTATAAACTTTTCCACATTTCTGATTTGCACACACCAGTCTGATTTGATATACTGAATCAGGGAAAGGAGAAGTGCTGACCTGTTCAGAGAAGCAGAACTCCGAGCTTTTCCACGGTGTTCTTGGAGGGCTTGGACAGTTTGGCATAATCACGCGGGCACGAATATCACTTGAACCAGCACCAAATATGGTAAAATACCATCCTAAGCATGACAATTGGCATATGTAAATATTTAACAGAGTTATCCAGTCATTCTAGGTACCAGTTTCCTGACACAGTCAAATCACTTTCATTAGGTGAAATGGATCAGGGTACTCTATTCGGAGTTCTCAGCATTCTCAAGGGACCAAGAGCATCTAATTTCGAGGGAGAACGGTTTCGATTACATTGAAGGATTTGTGATAATCAATCGAACAGGTCTCCTCAATAATTGGAGATCCTCCTTCAATCCAAAATATTCCAATCAGGCAAGCCAATTCAATACAGATGGGAAAACCCTTTACTGTTTAGAAGTGGCCAAATATTTCAACCAAGAAGACGGTGCCTTTGTGAACCAGGTAAGACGACCCAACCATACATACATACATACATACATTGTCTGGACAAACCGTTAGTGATCAACACACCGATAATGGTGGTTATGCAGGAAAGCGACAGATTACTATCAGAGTTGAATTATATTCAATCTACGTTGTTCTCATCTGAAGTGTCATATATCGAGTTTCTGGACCGGGTGCATATATCAGAGATAAAACTGAGGGCGCAGGGTTTATGGGAGGTCCCACATCCCTGGCTAAATCTTCTAATTCCAAAAAGCAAAATATTCGAGTTTGCTACAGAGGTTTTCAACCGTATACTCACAAGCAACAGCAATGGACCTGTCCTTATATATCCAGTCAATCAATCCAAGTAAAAATATCATAATACCCGAGATAACTTCTTCAAATGATTCTGGTTCAGTAAGGCACTAACCGGAGGCAGCATTCGTTTTCATTGCAGGTGGAACAGTAACACATCTTTGGTCACTCCAAATGAAGACATCTTCTATCTAGTCGCGTTTCTTTCCTCTGCAGTGCCATCTTCAACAGGAACAGATGGCTTAGAGTACCTTTTGAAACAAAACCAAAGAGTTCTTGATTTCTGTGCAGCAGCAAACCTCAATGTTAAACAATATTTGGCCCGATATGAAACTCAAGAAGAGTGGAAAACACACTTCGGCAATCGGTGGGAAACCTTTGCACAGAGGAAATACGCTTACGATCCTTTGGCGATACTAGCTCCAGGGCAGAGAATTTTCCAAAAGGCGACACAATTGTCTGCAATCCAACGTCTTCTGTGAGGCAAATCGAACAACCATTACTCGGAGTTACATCAGAGCATCATGCCGACATTGAAGACACATGAAACTATTAAACTTAGAGCTGTAAATTATGAGGTATAAGTTTCGACATATCTTGTAGGTTGCCTGGCCCTGACATTAAGCAGATAGATGAAAGACAGTGGAATTCTTTCCTGTTTTTGTTTTTTTTTTTGTCGAGCAACAGAGTTTCTAAAACCGAAACAGATCAAGACACTGTATATGGTCTGCAGCACTGCCCTCGCAGATTGTTCTCTTCACCCTTTCTAGATCAAAATCCTCAACACTTTCATACTACAATTCCATACCGTTTTCATACTAGAATATGAGATGCATCACCAAAACCCGAACCGTGCATGTTTGCCATGTGTATAGATGGTTTAAGTGTGCAAAACATTTCGCAGAAAAATAGTCGACTCTGTTTTGCTAAGAGCTCTACGCAGCAGTGTCTTCCATAGCCCCTCAAAAGAAATCAGCATTGCGGAAGGATATTTCACAACCCGGCCATTTCCAGATCAAACTAAGCAATCTTCGGGATTTTCCGTTTCTGAATTAGTGCGTGCGTAAGCTCTTTCAGACCACAGAACAGGAGCAAACAGATACCCAGAAACTCGACAACTCTCAAATCAAGACTTCTGGAATCAAAATCCGCAGTGAAAGTACCTTGGAACCCTAAACGATCATCGAGAAGACTACTCGCACTCGAATTCTCGATTCGATCGACAAACCGCTGGAGAAACACAAAAAAAAAATAGAATCCCGCGCTTTCTGCTTATTTTCTGACTCACTTTGTCAGCAGCCAAACAGACCATGCTGCGACTTCCCGTCTGCCATAAGCGCCGGAAACTATGCCTGCAAAATCATAGAAGCTTGCCGCCCCTTCGCCATGGCTGAGACAAATTGGCCAGTAGGAGAATTTATTGTTTCTGCAATTTTTAAATTTTACATCGTTGTGATGAAGACACGTGTGTTTGGGTATATAAAGTTAAAAAACTTTTAAATTATAAAAAATAGGGTAATCGCAAAAGAAAAAAAAATCCGTTCACATTCACGAAAAAACCCTATATTTTTTTATTACCAATTAAACTCTATACTCTACGTGATTAATTCATAAAACTCCATACTTTTTAAAAATTGATCGAAAATCTCCCGTGAATATCAACTAAACAAAAATAATTATTTAGCAATGACATGACATGAACACATCATTATAATTATGCCATATCGTCATTTCAAACAAAATTTAAATTAAATTATTTATTTAAATTAATATATATACATACAAATCTCTATATATATATATTAAAAATAATATGTATATATATATATATATATATATATTAGTTATACATATAACATATACATATATTACTAATATACATATTAAAATAAAAGTAATTATAATTAATATATATATATATATATATGTGTGTGTGTTTTATTAGTTATAAATAATTTTATATTTAATATATATATATATATGTGAATTTGTATGTATATATATTAATTTAAATTAAATTTTGTTTGAAATTATGATGTGATATAATTATGATGATGTGTTCATATTATGTCATTGCCACATCATCATTTTTGTTTGAGTTGACATTCGTAGGGGATTTTTGGTGAATTTTTAAAAATTACAGAATTTTATGGATTAATCATATCAAATATAGAGTTTAATTGGTAATAAAAAGAGTATAGAAATTGATAAATAGATAATCCAAAAAAAATACAAAAACCATAATTGAAATGGATCATAAAAAAACCCTAACGGTATACACAAATACAACCTGAGCACACGCAACGAGTTTCCTCCCCGATGGAATCTCGGCAAGAAGTCAAATTTGGTTAGCCTTTCGCATACTGGATGTCCCCTGCGGCGGTGGAAAATTTTCTTCTTTCCTAAACCCAGTTCGAGATTTCACCGGATTTCTTCCGGAGAGTTGCCACTCTCACGATCAACGAAGCATGGATCATTCTTCGTCCTCCTAGTCCTCGGCCTCGGGTATTGGAAATGGAACCAAATTGTGTTTCGGAGTTGGCTCGGGTCCGAGGGCGAAGAATCGGGCGAGACTCAAGGCAATTTACATAGTGGGAAGGTCAGCTCCGGTAAAACCGGGTCGGGTTTCAACCCGTTCGCGTCGTCTGGTACGTCGGGAGATTGTAATTCTGATCGATTTCTCATTGAATACCCATTCCTACGCATTTCATGCCACATTAGTTTTCTTCGGATAACTCTTCTGGTGCATTCGGGCGTGCAATAATCAGGAGTACACGACCAAACCGTGCAGTGAAAACAGGTTTCGTGCTGCCAACAGAAAGAACTCCAGCACAGAGGAAACACAAAACCTTTCTGCTTCAGAGAAGCGCCAACAGAAGAAAGTGGAGAGACAAGCAGACGAAACTATGGAACCAGACCTGGTAGATGGTAAGAGGTCCGGAAGAAACTTAAGCAGCAACAAGCACATGCCACAGCAGTTCCCTGGGAAAAACCTTCCTGGGTGAGATTTTTGCTTCTATAACCCAATACAGTCCTTACATTCTTTTCTGTGCATATGACCACAGATACCCTCATTGTGGTGTTGTTTAGGACAGGAAATGTTGTCAGTGGGTATAGTGGAAAAACCAAATGCGAGTTGGAGGATTGGCAAGAGATCTTTACAGGTGTACACACTCTCATGGAGCTTGACAAAAGGGTAATTCAGGCGGGTGAAACAGAATTCTCTTATACATGAAGGACTCCAACATTAAATGAAGAACTCTCTAAGCAGTAAGCATAAAGGATCTCCAAGACTGTAATTTCAATCCAAAGTTAAAACTTGATAGAAGTGATCTTAACATGCCAAAGGAAAACTTGGGAATAAATCAAAGATGCTAAGCAGAAGACAAAACTCCAGTTTGGTTGGACAAGTACCTCATCGAGCAGTCTGCGCTGGGGCATGTTCCAAGAGCTGACTGACTAACTTGTAAGTTCGTCCAGACAAGGCTTTGGTGTGGGCTACCAACTGCTCGTGTCTGGCAAAATTACAGATAGCAAAGAAGGGAGGGACATATGGTAAAAGGTTATTTGAGGGTTCAAGTCAAATGATGATGAGAATAGTTATGGATAACAGTGTATGAAGGTGTGTTCTTACATGTTGGGTTGATTTGGCTCCATGACTACGGTTCCAGACTCAGAATCGATCTTGGCATCCAGCTTTGAGGTGCGGATAAGGTTCACAATCCATCTCTCAGCATCCTCATAGTTTAGATTCAATTTCTCGGCAAGCACCCTACAAAATACCATAAGATTAGAAATGGTTGTGTGCCAGATTATCCATAGAAGTATCATTTGAAGGAAGAAGAAACACAAATAGGAACTGGTATACTCAGATGTGGAAATTAAAGACAGCAATCTATATATGATTACTTACCCCATATCAATTCGCTGATGAATTCTGCAATAGGTCTCGAAGATGAATAAACGGGCATTTTCAAGGAACTCATCCCTCAATGGTATGGTCGAAAAGTTTCCGTCTTCTACTCGCTTTCCCAGGAAAGGGTCGTTCACAATGACCTACATTATGTTAACGTGTGAAATGTATACTAAATTTCAGTAGAGCCACTTTTCCGAGTAAAACTTTGCAAGTAAGATTTAGCGGCAGCTAGAAAACTAGAAGGAACATCATTAGAGAGAAATATGATGATGCAGACATAATGGCAGTAAAAAAATGAAACTGGACACACTTACATCTTCACACTC